AGAGAGAAGAGAGGAGGGAGGAAAGTTGTAAAATACCAAAAATATCCTTGCATTAAAATTTTAATTCAAAATTGCCAAAATTATAAATTTCCTAATTTATCTATTAATTTGTGGTTAATATTGGTTCTCACAGTTACCACAAACTAATTAGTTCTCATTTGATTAGGCCCCTATATATATATCATATAATATTTATAATTAACATAAATAAAGTAGATAATTTAATTTATAAACATTTTTACACAATTTTCATATACATAAATATAAAATAGTACCAAATTTGAGTGAGATTTTTTTTGTATAATTGATGTTATTTTGATAAAACCCGATTTATACAAAGGAAAAATTATGTTTTATTCGATTTGGAAGATCTTTATCAACTGGTGAAGGCGGTAAAGATTGATGCAACAACAATGGTTGTGGAGGTAGAAGCATTAATAAAAGGTGGATGATAGTGGTTGTGGAGGACGTGAAGGTGGTGGATAATGGTGGTGGTAGCGGTCGACAATTGTGGAGGGGGTAGTTGTGGCCTATGTGGTGGAGATAGGTATAATGGTGAGCAATAGGTGGTGGTTATGGTAGAGTTGGTGCTGGGCGACGACAGATCGTTGTGGTTGTGGAGGACATGAATATGGTAGATAATAGGAGTGGTAGCTGATAGTAGTGGCCGACGGTGGTAGTTGTAGCCAGTGGTGGTGGTGGGCAATGGTAGTTGATGGTGGAGGTGAGGTGGCCATGGTGGTAGTGATGAATGGTGTTGGTCAGTGGTCGACGATGGTTGTGGAGGTGGTGGAAGAGGTTGTAGTAGAAGAGAAGGTGGAAGTGGCCAATGGTGGTAGTGGTGGTGGTAATGGACGATGGTGGTCAATGGATGACGATGGATGTAAAGGTGGTGGAAGAGGTTGTAGTAGAAGAGAAGGTGGAGGTGGCCAACGATTGTAGTCGTGGTGGCAATGGACGGTGGTGGTCAGTGGACAACGATGGTTGTGGAGGTGGTGAATGAGGTTGTTGTAGTAGCAGAGAAGGTGAAGGTGGCCAACGGTGGTAGTGGTGATGGACGGTGGTGGCCGATGGTGGTTGTGGAGGTGGTGATAGACGGTGGTAATCGATGGTCGATGGTGGTTGTGGAGATGGTGGATGAGGGGGAGGTTGCCGACGGTGGCGACGACCACAACTGGCGGTGGTGACCACTAAATAAATACCATGTTAAGGGTATATATCAAAAGAGGGTGGGTTAGTAATATTTTAGTCTCTCTAATTTTTGGACATCTTGGTAGAACAAGAAAAAGCTTTTTTTGTCCCACCTTGTCACAGTTCTTGTCCATGTCTCATGTCGCACCCAACGTGGGACAATGAGTTATTGTCTTATCCTATGTTGTGTCAAACGTGAGACAATGAAATTTGTCCCTTGTTGTTATGTCCTGTCCCATGTAGCAAATGACAGCCTAAGTGTGAATATATATATATATGCAAATTCAGAAAAATAGCTGAATGTGATATCTATACTATATTATAAAGCATTTGACAAAAACTCTTGAAAACCACTTTTTATGCATAAAGTATTGTTTATTAATGCATATTACTTAAAACTCAAGATTACAAGTAGATTGTGCGTAAGTACAACTTATTAAAGCTCCATATCTGAATTCGTGTAACTAACTGCAAATAAACATAATCAAATACCGGATAAACATCTCATTTTAAATATAAAAAATCTAATATATAATTAAGATAATCATTGAGTTCTAACAAAATACTAAATTATTATCTTTATAAAATGTTATATTATTAAACCAAAAATAAATTATTTAATTATTAAACTTAAAT